CTTACACTGTTAAATTAGGGACGGCTAGTGCAGATAACCCTCGTGTAGCTTTACGCGAAATTCAAAAAATAAACAAACTAAAAATCAAAGAAATTCTTGAGAAACAGACAATATCAATGTTGATGTGAATACCAGAAATATTAACCAAAACTCTTTAAATGTAGTTTTAGAAAGTAACTTGAATTTCAAGATTAAAACTGTGGACCAGTCTTATTTTAAAAAGTCAATTAAAAAAAAAAAATTTAAATGATTTTTTCCCCTCAAGAAAAAATTAATAAGTTTTCTGAACAGAATGGTACAGAAATATCATGTGAACTAAGGTGAACACTAAGCCAACCACTTTTAACCATTAAACCTATCAAGAAATAAAATATGATACCTGACAAACTATGAGTACTAAGCTTTTTAAATTAATTTTTAATTTCACCTTATCAAATTTACTGTTATACCAAGAGAAGACTTCTAAGGTGCCATGAAATTATTATAATTTGTTGTTTGGGTAAATCTGGTTGCTTGCTCACCCTAGCTACATGATTTTTCCTGTAATAATCTGCTCAGAGGGAATATATAAAGCACTATATACTTTTTTGTTCAGTTCCTAAATGGGCCTTCTAGTGGAACAGCAGTAAGCTTATGGACTTACATTGCTAAAATCTGGGATTTGACTCCCTGCAGTGGACACAACAGATAGCCCAGTGTGACTTTGCTCTTTTAGAAACAAACAAACAAACGGTTCCCAAATGAATCTAGTAAAAAAAGTTAAATCTAATATCATACATTGATCTTCTCTTGGTTTAATAGTAAACGTATTACAGAATGTGATGTTTTCTAGTAGTTTCTCCTGGTGAAAGCTAATAGCACGATTACTGCATATTGACATAACTGAGGTGTGACAAAATTTTACAGTACTGGACACTTTTTTTTGTAGTACTTGTGTCTCTTATACAACAATTGCCTGTAATACTTCTAACTCTCATACAGTGAATATCTGTAGTGCTTCTGTTTATATATATGTAATATATGTAAATAACAATGAAGTAATGCGACAAGGGGGAAAGTATAAAATAGTCTTGTAAGTTACTCCTGAGGATGACGTAGATCACGTCGAAACATGTACTTGTAGAGATATTTTAAAGTGGAAGCCGTACGGCTTCAATAACGTTTTTATTGTATAAATATAAAACGTTGTTTTTAATTAATTATTTATTAAGAATTTAAAAAAACAATAATTTAAACACAAGTGCCGGTAGTGGATATGTATGTGTGTGCATGTTCTATCATAATGTTGCCTAGGTAACTTGACTGTTACATGTGTGTGTTCTATCATGGGGTTGCCTAGGTAACTTGGTTTTTATATATGTATATGGTTATGTATTGTGTTGCCTAGGTAACTTGGCTGTTACATGTGTGCGTTCTATCATGGTAAAAACCAACTTACCTAGACAACACAATTATAGAACACACATATACGTGTAATAACCATGCTACCTAGGCAACACAATACATAACCATATACATATATAAAAGCCAAGTTACCTAGGCAACATATTTGTATATGATTGTATGTTGTGTTGTTAAGGTAACATGATTGTTACATATATGTATGTGTGTATTCTATTTTTATGTTACCTAGGTAACTTGGCTGTTATATGTGTGTGTGGTGAAGTGTTCTTTTCTGGTGTGTCTCCTGTTTCTAAATTTACATCTATATATGTACACTGTTTTTGTTGTAGTAAATGGACAAGATAAAGTTATCTTATTCAAAACTGTTTTAGATAAAGAGTTGTTTATCATTTTGCACATTCTTTGATATTTTTTTGTTTCAACCATGTTAATATTTTGGGTTAATGTTTATTTCAGGTAACAGGAGAAAAAGTTTCTAAAATGAGCTTGGTTGATTTAGCGGGTAGCGAGAGGGCTGTCAAGTCTGGAGCTGTAGGAGAGAGATTAAAAGAAGGAGCTAACATAAACAAGTAAGTAAACAGATCATTTTGTTTTAGTAGCTATCATTAAAACCAAATGCCAAGATTTATGTGAGACCAGTGGCATACACCATCAGTTAAAATCTACCCAGAAAAAATACAACTTTCCTGTTTATTGCCTACCTGTAAAGAATACAAATTTACTTGGTTATTACCTGCCCAGAGTACATTTTTACCTGTTTATTACTTACCCATAAAGAATACAACTCTACCTGTTTATTTTCTATGCAGAAAGAAAAAAACTTTCCTGTTTAATCCATACCCACAAAGAATACAAATTTACCTGTTTATTTTCTACCCAGAAAGAAAAAGCTTTCTTGTTCATACTATCCACACATTTATCTGATTCTGTTCACACTATCCACACGTTTTCCTGATTCTGTTCACACTATCCACACGTTTATCTGATTCTGTTCACACTATCCACACGTTTACCTGATTCTGTTCACACTATCCACACATTTACCTGATTCTGTTCACACTATCCACACGTTTACCTGATTCTGTTCACACTATCAACATATTTACCTGATTCTGTTCATACTATCCACACATTTACCTGATTCTGTTCATACTATCCACACGTTTATCTGATTCTGTTCATACTATCCACATATTTACCTGATTCTGTTCATACTATCCACACGTTTATCTGATTCTGTTCATACTATCCACATATTTACCTGATTCTGTTCATACTATCCACACGTTTACCTGATTCTGTTCATACTATCCACACATTTATCTGATTCTGTTCATACTATCCACACGTTTACCTGATTCTGTTCATACTATTTTTTGCTAAGTGACATCACATAAAAACCATTGTTGGAATGTAGTGTTACCAAAACACAATGGCTTTTCTATATTTTAGAAGTTGTTAATCTCACTGATTTTTATTAATAATTATTATGTGAATACGCCACGATTTCATTTAATGAATGGTCATAATTTTAATTGGCTCACAGAGGAACTTATCGAAGTTTGACTGCACTTTTCTGCCTCTTTGTTGGTCAAGTTTGATTTAGTAACATTTATTTACTTCAGTTAGCTATGAAATGTGATGTTAGGGTATACTATGGGGTGGGGATGGTATAACTTGCACCGTTATTTTTGACGGGCTATACGCTAGTTAAGTATATCTATGATTCCTGTCATCATGAATTAGCTGTTCAAATAGTAAAAAGAAATTAGAACAACAGAATTAAAGGAATTATTATGGATTAAATTCATTGTTTCATATTAATTTTACCTATGAATTGTTTAAAGGGATTCTATTTAATTAACTTACACCCCTCCTTAGTTTGTTATTTTTAATAATATCACATTTTGCAATTGTAATTTTATGAATTATAGAAAATATTATTAATAAACGAAACTTAATTCTTCAGGAAACATATTGTAGTATACAATATATTGTTAGTTTTATTAATAACAGTGTAGGTTTGGGTTCTAACTCCCCTCATTTTACAAAATAATAAAACTAAAGAAAGTTAAATTAAAACTCATAAGGTCTCTATTCCATTGGTTAAAATATTATTTGCAAAAACTTTTTTTTTCTTCTAAAGATCATGTATGTATAGCAGTGCTTAGTTCTGACTAAAGATCATGTGTGTAAAGCAGTGCTTAGTTCTGACTAAAGATCATGTATGTAACGCAGTGATTAGTTCTGACTAAAGATCATGTGTGTAAAGCAGTGCTTAGTTCTGACTAAAGATCATGTGTGTAAAGCAGTGCTTAGTTCTGACTAAAGATCATGTATGTAAAGCAATGCTTAGTTCTGACTAAAGATCATGTGTGTAAAGCAGTGCTTAGTTCTGACTAAAGATCATGTTTGTAAAGCAGAGCTTAGTTCTGACTAAAGATCATGTGTGTAAAGCAGTGAGTGCTTTGTTCTGACTATTTGTTTCTATATTTTAGGTCTTTAACAACTCTTGGTCTAGTGATATCCAAATTAGCAGACCATTCTTCATCGAAGGCTAAAGACAAGTTTGTTCCTTACAGAGATTCTGTTCTGACATGGTTGCTGAAGGTATGATTCCTGTTTGATATTGAACAAACTTTCTGTTAATTGCTAATGTTAACCTGTTTGTTAAAATACAGTTTTAATATTTAAGATTAATTTTTATTTAACCACAAAGTTATTGCTAAATACCGGTATTAAAAAAACATTGAGTAAATTTTACTTATTACATGATTTTGAAAAGTTACTTGATAATTGGGAAAAAAGCTTAAAATGAACCCATTCTTCAACTGATTTAAAGTTAGTTAAATGGTTAAAAAACACACAGTGGAATATGTTTTACTTAAAATGATATATGAACACAAAACTAGAAATTGTATTATATTCTTAGCTTCTAAAGGTATTTCTGGAATTGGTCAACGTAAATATTCGTCATTAGAACAAACTCAGCCAAGCACTTCTCAGAAAATTACTCAATAGTGTTTAATTTTTATAATCCTAGAGTAAGTTGTGAACCACTGCATCAAAAAGACTATAATTGGCTCTAAAAAATTTTATTTGTATAAATGAATATTAATTTCAAAAACAACAGCATATTTCGAAAACTAAGTTGTATGAAGTACAAGTGATAAAAACAACAAAAATAAAGATTATAGCAAAACTGTTTTTACGAATCTTGAAGTTTTATATTTTTAAATTATTTGATCATGCACAGTCATGTTTTTAACTCCGAGTATTGTTCACTGTTTGGACTTCCAAAATATGGAATATCGGGGCCTTACATATCACTTTAATGTCAAACACACATGACGCAACAAAACACCTTAGTTGATTCCAGTATTGTTCACTTTTTGGACTTCCAAAATATGGAATATCAGGGCCTTACATATCACTGTAATGTCAGACACACATGACGCAACAAAACACCTTAGTTGATTCCAGTATTGTTCACTTTTTGGACTTCCAAAATATGGAATATCAGGGCCTTACATATCACTGTAATATCAGACAGATGTGAGGCAACAAAACACCTTAGTTGATTGGAGTATTGTTTACTGTTTGGACTTCCAACACATGGAACATCAGTTCTTTATAATATACTGTAACAACAAGTAGGTGTGAGGCAACAAATCACTTTGATTGGTCATAGTTTTACATAGTTTTCTAGTTTGTTTGCTTCACATCATTTATGTGAAATGAGATGTGTAAACATAAGGTAGTTTAAATAATGTTATACATTTTATAATCTCAGTGTAATATGCTATGGTGGCACTGGGCCACTGATTAAAAACTTAAGATTGATATATAGAAAAAATATATTTATATTGTTTTAATCAAGGTAATTTCTAACAGTAAATATTATGAGTGTAAAGTAAATGATGGACGTCTGAATTGAGTGACTTTGTTGTTAATTTTGTTCCTATATCATAAATGATATTGGCATATCTCATTCGTATTTCTAATTCCAGGATAACATTGGAGGGAACAGTAAAACGGTCATGTTGGCCACCATCAGCCCAGCTGCTGACAACTACGATGAAACCTTGTCTACGTTAAGGTACGCTGACAGAGCTAAGAAAATAGTCAATCATGCTGTTATTAATGAAGACCCAAATGCTCGAATCATCAGAGAGCTGCGTAAGGAAGTTGAGCAGCTAAGAGAACAGCTGAAACACGCTACTGTGAGTACTGCTAATTCTTAAACATAGCTGGTGAACATGTAAACACATATCTTTATGTATGTGTAACATTATCTTATTTTTATACACTCTTATTTTGATACATTTATAATAAAAATTTCGTATAGTTTAATTTTTAATTCATATTTCAAGAGTTCTATCAAGCAATCTTCATATATAACTTTTAAAAAGGTATAAACTTGTACACGATGTCATGAGTTAGTGTTAATCAATATCTTGACTAAGATTGGGGACCAATATGGGGGAAGGTAGAAAAACGAAATTGTTAATAAAAGATATGCAAGTAAGTCAATTATAAAATGTTACATTAAATCAACACAACATGAATAAGAAGCTGAAAATAATTATTGAAGTTGTGTGCTGATATCAAGATAAAAAAATCCATTTAACTAAGTAATATTGTTGGTATTTAAATAACATTTGTGCAACTGATAATCACCCAAATTTTATATTATTATACAGAGAAGCAAAGTAAAGTCATTCAGATAGACAGCTTAATAAACCTAGTAATATTATTAGTATATTATTAACTAGCTGGAGCACCAGTCCCCTGGATGGAAGTTATGTAAATTCATGATTAATCAAAGGCTATCTCAGGACATGAAAAGTTGCTTCCCTTATGTAATTGTAAAAAACACAAAAGTGGCCACAAAAAATATGCAAGACAGAAAATGTGAAACTGCAACTTTGCATGCATCTCCTCATGGACCCAACAAACCTTCATGTCAAATTTGGTGAAGATCCATTAACAGGGGGCGAAGTACTGGTGAAAAACACAAAAATGCCCATAAAAACCGCAAAATGCAAAACTGAAAATTTGTATTTCCATTGTACATTTTATGGTTTTATTGATGCTGATCTTCACATCCTGGTATAATTTTTCCATTGTACATTTTATGGTTTTATTGATGCTGATCTTCACATCCTGGTATAGTTTGTCCATTGTACATTTTATGGTTTTATTGATGCTGATTTTCACATCCTGGTATAATTTTTCCATTGTAGATTTTATGTTGTTTTTTTTTATGCTGATCTTGTGCATCATCTTCACATCCTGGTTTAATTACCATATTAAATTTTTTTAACAATGTTGATATTTTGTGTCATCTGAACATTCTACTTTAATTTTCTCAGCTTATGCAGTTTTTTGGTGTCGTTGTGTCTTGTGTGATTCAAACTTAAAAAAATTTAAAAATAAAGCTCAAAAACAAATTCGTTCCAACTGTATCTTCATCAGATAAAAGTATCTAATTTAAATCTGTGTAAAAACTGATCATTGTTTAGTTTTAATACGTGAAATTGATCTGTATTTTCATTTAGAAACAAGAAGATCTTTGTGAGAGGCTGATGGAATCAGAGAAGTTGATGAAGGAGATGAGTAGAAGCTGGGAGGAAAAGCTCAGTCGAACTGAACAGGTTCATCAAGTAAGTTTGGTTAAAGATTTCATTGTAACAAAATAATCCACCCCTCTTTTTTTATATTATAAATGACCTGTGAAATATTTCTAAATGATTGTTTGTTTGAAGTTAAGCACAAAGCTACACAATGGGCTGTCTCTGCTCTGCCCACATGGGTATCGAAACCCGGATTCTAGCGTTGTAAGTCCGCAGACATACTGCTGTGCCACTGGGGGGCTACTAAATGATGTATTTAGTTTTACTTCTTGCAATTAGTATTTAAATGATGTGAAATAGGAATAAACAAAGTCAGCATTATGATCGTGTAACTCTTCGACTAATTTTAAAGAAGCAGCGGACAGGCCTAAGGATTATTTGTTTCAATAAATTATTGTATGGAATCTCTCAAGATGCATTATTACATTTCATTGATTGCTTAGGAATAAATTATACAGATAAAGATTTGATGTGTGATAAACATGAATACAATTTTTATCAAATTGACTCGAGTTCTCAATCACGTATTTGACCATGCTTTCAGGTGAAGGAAACCTGTCTAAAGTAAAGGTTTGGAGGTTTATTTTGAAATAGCTTTAAATAGTGCTCATTTCTGGCAAGTTTGTCATTGATGTTGTTGATTTCAGTGAGTTAAATGAATAACTATAGTAGCAGTTGGCTTATAAACATATCTTCCACCACTTTAACTGATATGACACAAAGGACACGCACTAGTGGTCCATGTCACTGTACAAGAAGAAAGTGTGAGAAGTTATATTGTGATGTGACTACTGTAAACTGAAAGATCAGGGGCACCACATAGGTGGGGCAAATGGTGCTTTGTGGCATTAGTTTATTTTGAGAACAATATCCCCCCTTTCACACATATATATATATATATAATATGTGTACTTTGCACTGCTCAAATAGTTATTAAATAATAGAAAATAATCAAAGCAAATGTTTCCAGACTAGATTGACTTTAACTTTTAGTATACCCAAGAGCATCCAGCCAGTTGTTCCTGTCTTCAATGAAATGCTAAATAGTGCTCCTGCAAAGTATATTAAACATATAACAGAAATAAATGTTTTGTAGTTCATCAATACAAAAGCTAATTGTGTTTGATCACACTGGAGTGTGTGATGGGACTCATGTGGTTGTGACACATCATTTCGTAGATGTACATGTTTATATTATAGTGTGTTTGTTTGAAAGTAGTTTAAGCCTTTTCACTAACTTTCTTGAATACGTTTTACATTCCTTTGAAAACTGTAAGCTCCTTTTGCTCATCGAAAGATTACTTTTAGTAAGAAAATTAATTTATCATTAATTTATATTTTTACAACTAGAGAGCAGCAGGTATTTATGTTTTTTTACTTTCATATATATACACTTCACCTAAAATTAATTTAATATTAAGTATTTCCATCAGAGGGCAGCAGTGTATGTACACTTTTCACAAATGTTTATCGTTTTAAATTAGTTTATTTTCACAAAATTATTAAACAAGCTTACCAGTATATTGATATGAATTTTAAAGCGAACCAGTAATAAAAGGGAAATAAAGTATTTACTGAGATTAAACTTTTAATCTCACTGTTATTTGTAATTAAACAGTAACGTTCGTATGGATCAGACCGTGATTATGATTTTTGTTATTATATATATATTTGCAAGTCTTTCTTATTGTACAAACTCGTAATCCTTTTTTTTTTAATGTTATACTTCGTTTGTCTTAGTGCAAAGTTACACAATAGACTATCTGCACACTGTCCACGTCAGGGAATCAAACCGCGATTTCCAGCGTTGTAAAGTCTGTAAAAGTTGAGATAAAATAATAATTGATATAGAACTGTTTCGTTTTGAGCCAACAAAGCTTTAATCGTGAGGTTTGATGTCTCACACAGAAAAAAAAAAGAAGAAAAAATAGAGGTTGACGAAAGTCAATAATAGTAACTAAATATATTGATTTCTGAATGGGAATTCCGTCAGTCTTAGCAACAGAAAGTATGCCCCACGGTAGTTCAGCGGTAAGGTAGAGGATTTATAATGATAAAATTCTAGGTTCGATCCCCGTAATGGGCACATCGCAGATAAATCACCGTGAAACTTCGTTTTTAAAAGAGAACAAATAAACGTAAATTATTGAGTTTTTATTAGTAATATTCATATTTAAATAAAGTAATTAAATTCTAATTACAATTTTTTTTTGTGAATCATGTAGGAAGGAAAACATAACTTTTATGCCCCCCCCCCCGCAACTTAAATTTACTTTTTGTTTTGCTCGAAGTTGCCCGCTGTCATACCAAAGGCAAACCAGCCATCACTTCTATCTTGGCCAGGCACGGCCAGGTGGTTAGGGCACTCGACTCGCAATTTGAGGGTCGCGGGTTCGAATCCCCGTCACAGCCGTAGGGGCGTTATAATGTGACGGTCAATCCCACTATTCGTTGGTAAAAGAGTAGCCCAAGAGTTGGCGGTGGGTGGTGGTGACTAGCTGCCTTCCTTCCAGTCTTATACTGCTAAATTTGGGACGGCTAGCGCAGGTAGCCCTCTTGTAGCTTTGCGCGAAATTCAAAAAACAAACAAACACTTTTATCAATTAAGTTCTAATACTCGAGGTTTTAACGCATTCCTAATGTGCTTCTTTCAAAAACAGTTTTTTATAAACGTGTTTAATTACGTGTTTTATTATTTAATTTCATAATGAAATGTGTGACATACTGAAAAAAAAACGTGGTTTTTTATCCGTTATTTTGTATTAAAGAAGATGAGATATATGTTAAATTTATTACTGACTAATAGATTAATTCGATTACTTTTTTAGTTCCAATATCTCAGTCTTTCTTGTTGTTTTTAATGAAGGAAAAAATAAACAATGACTCGCATAGCATAATTGTTAGGACACGGATATCAAAAGCTTTCATAAAAAAATACAAATGAAGTAACAGACAAGAAAATTTTACATTATTTTATGTCTCTTACCTCGTAGTGTAAAGGAATCGTGCAGTTTCCATAGTAACGATCACATAGCTCTATATAAGTTGCGATGGTAACAGTTGATTCAATCTGCTTCTACATCAAGTAGGTAATTTAATTTCGCACACATCTATATATTATCAAATGCGACAGCAATATCTAAAAATCTTTGAAGGTTGAAATGATTATCTGATTTATTTTTCTCCAAATATCTAAAAACGAAGAGAGTAATCAATGACGTCTTCGCTTATTTAAATAGCTGTATAAATTTTAAGGGTTAGAACACCACCCTATGAAAATAAAATTTTCTATAAAAGCTGACACTGGGTAAGATTCGAACCACTGACTATTTATTGAACAGACGTTTCATTCAACTAAACTATCCCGCTTCGAAAACACCACACCTCTCATCATTTTATCCCCCCCCCCCCTTTTCTTCTTCTTCTAAGGAAGTATCAAATTAAGAACTTAAAAATATTTAATGATAAATTGTTTCGGTTTTAAATTTCACAGATTGCATTGTAATCAGCATGTTTACAGATGTCTCTAATTTGTACGCTAATACTGACTCACTACTTCAATAGATTTACTGCTTTGTCCTAATTGATAGACGTTATCACGAAGTGGATTTAATTCTACTCGACCTTTCATGAGTCCTTTCTGTCTATCTGTATGTATTTTGTTGAGTATCGATCCTTGAAATTAAACAGTATTTTTTCTCGGGCGTTTTGCACAGGTTTCATGTTGTGTGAAATGCTTAATTTGTTTAAATGTCAAGTTTCAGGTTGTATGTACTAGTTTTCTTGCATCGATATTTAAGTTGGTTAAATTTCCAATATTTTAACTCGGTTCACTTGGAATAGTTTGGTGGCTAGGGTGCTAAACTCACAATGTGTGGGTCGCGGGACCGTAACTCGTCGTCGAACGTGCTCGTTCCTTTAAGCCGTGGGGACGTTATAATGTTACGGTCAATTCCACTATTCGTAGGTAAAGAATGGCCCGAGAGTTTGGATTGACTAACTCTAGTCTGTCAAATAGCCCTCGTGTAGCTTTGTGCGAAATTCAGTAAAACAGTGTAATTCGGTTTGTAAGAACGTTTAAAACGTTCTCGTTCAGCACCTGTAGAAATACCTGTTTTGTATAACAAATATGCAGTAGTGTGAAACGTGATATAACGAAAATACATCGTTAACGTAGATATCAGTGTAATGATTATCTTCTTCTCAAACTGTCGAATATTTCTCTAAAACTCAAAAATATTATTTCAATTTAAGGAACGTAACAATTAAGGAATGTTCCAAATTAATTTTAACCGAATTTACGAACGTAACGATTAAAGAAAGTTTTAAATGAGTTTTAACTGAATTTACGAACTTAACGATTAATGAAAGTTCCAGATTAATTTTAACTGAATTTACGAACGTAACGATTAAAGAAAGTTCCAGATTAATTTTTAACCGAATTTACGAACGTAACGATTAAAGAAAGTTTTAAATGAGTTTTAACTGAATTTACGAACTTAACGATTAATGAAAGTTCCAGATTAAATTTAACTAAATTTTCGAACTTTAATGATGCCGTATAAAGCACTCCCAAAGAAGGTGATCAAGAAAAGAAAGTCTAGGTAGAAGTAGACGAAATCACGTGTTATGTAAACAATAAGCACAATTTTCAACCATTTGACTGAAATTAGGAATGGTTGAACTCAACGATATGACTGATATTAGGGGTGGTTGAACTCAACGATATGACTGATATTAGGGGTGGTTGAACTCAACGATATGAATTATATTAGGGATGGATGAACTCAACGATATGACTAATATTAGGATATCGTTGAGTTCAACCATTCCTAATATCATTCATATCGTTGAGTTCAACCACCCCTAATATCAGTCATATCGTTGAGTTCAACCACCCCTAATATCAGTCATATCGTTGAGTTCAACCACCCCTAATATCAGTCATATCGTTGAGTTCAACCAACCCTAATATCAGTCATATCGTTGAGTTCAACCAACCCTAATATCAGTCATATCGTTGAGTTCAA